TGGAGGGATAAAAATGTTGGTTTTTATTGGCCTCCTTTAGAGCTTCACCATTTGTTACATTGGCTAACAATCTCTGAGAAATAAGATGTAAGGAACAAAACCCAGCATGAGGTGATCAAAGCCTGGAAGGACGCTTTCATATGTGGCCAGGACGAGTTGACCTGGTGTCAGGGCTGACTTAATCTTGTACTCACAGCAGGCAGAGTACTGCCTTTTGGAGCTTACCAAAAATGCTTTCATTCTTTTGACTCTGAAGAAAAGCAATACGTAAAATATAGCTTTTGTTTGTCTTTATACCAAGGCAGTGGTAAAATGCCGTTTGAGTATTTTCATTTGTCAAAAGGGATTGTTGAATGTCACAGTGCTCAGAGTCCAAAATGTCTGCTGCAGCCTGCATGGCTGTCTGTAAAGAGGCTGTAGTTTACAATAGTGTAGTCTGATTTTGAATTACTCTAAGTTATTCCTCTGATATTTACCCTGTTATTGCTGTTGGTCATCCCATTGTGCCCAGAATGGCTGCTCACAGAATTTTATAAGGATTGATTTATTTATATTGGAAAGGCAGATTTACAGAGAGAAAGAGAGACAGAAATGTTTTTCATCTGCTGGCATATTCTCCAAGTAGCCAAAATGGCCAGAGTTCAGCCTATCTGAAGCCATGAACTTTTTCTGGGTTTCCCATGCCGGTGCAAGGTCCCAAGGCTTTGGGGGGCTGTACTTTACTGCTTTTCCAGGCCGCAAGCAGGGAACTGGGTAGAAACTGGGGCAGCTGGGACACAAACTGGCACCCATATGGGAACCTGGTGTGTGCAAGATGAGGATTTAGCCACTAAGCCATTGCTTTGGGACCTTGCTCCTAGAATTTCACATCTGAGATGTCAAAACAAAGTGCACTTGAGCTGCACATTTCTGAAGCAAAAGCCAAAGGTTATTAGCAATGGTGCAGTCTTGGGGTACACATTGCTACAGTTTACTCTTGAAGTAGGCTTGGTACAAGCTTTCAGAGCAAGGGGACTCAATAGATTGTGACAAGAGCTAAAAGGGGATTCATTAGAGGAAAAGCTCTTTCTATGTATTAAAAAAATAATTAGATGCCTTTCTACATATGAGGAAGTAGAATCTATCTTTTGCTTTCACAGTACGTGACAGGAGATTGCCTTGTTCTTGTCAAGCAAGAGTAATGGTCTAACTTAAAACTGAAGCGTCTCATCTTTTACATTTAGGTGCAAGCTGCCCTTTAACTCTATGTTGCTAATCCATGAGCTAAAATATCAAAATCTCTAAGAATCAATAGATAAAACTCAACATGACAATGTACACAAAGGCTAGGGTCAAGCTGCTGGTCAAACTTATACCACCCAAATTAAGGGAAAAATAAGGAATTGGAGGGGTGGGTGTGATGGCACAGTGGCATAAACCACTGCTTCAGATGCCTGGGGCCCATTGCAGTGTCTGTTGGGGTTCCATGTACTTCTGAAATCCAGCTTCCTGTTGATGTGCCTGCGAAAGCACAGCGTGATGGCCTAATTACTGCAGAAGTGGCCAAAGCAAAGAGGAATCTGTGGCTCCAGTCACTCAGGTCTGGAATTTTTAGATATTTCTAAAAGAGGGAGTTCATGGCCCCACACTGTGGCTCAGTGCTTAAGTCCTTGCCTTGCAAGCATTGGGATCCCATGTGGGTACTGATTTATGTCCCAGCTGCTCCACTTTCCTTCCAGCTCCCTGCTTGTAGCCTTGGAAAGCAGTAGAAGATGGCCTGAATGCTTGGTACCCTGCACCCTGAGCTGGAATCTTGAATAAAGCTCCTGGCTTCTGGCTTTGGATCAGTTCAGCTCTGGCAGTTGCAGCCACTTAGAGAGTAGACCAGTGGATGATTTTTTTCTGTTTCTCCTATAAATCTGCCTTTTCAATAAAAATAAACAAATCTTTAAACTAAAAAAAAAAACTCATTTAGTTGAGGTATATGCAAATGAAGCATTCACTATATTCTAATCATAGCAGCCTATTTTGCATAGAAATTCTCAAACATGCAAGACCATTTGCAGATGCATTGTCTAGGTTTCTGCTGTCTCTCAGAGCCCCAGGGAAGTCACGCCTTGCTTTCTATGGGGGAGCAGGAGAGGGCAAGGGAAAATTTTCCAACTGCAGTTCACTCCGGAATACCGACAGCAGCTTAGCCTGCAGTAACAGGCCACAGTCATAAGTTAGGTGCTTCAGCCTGGGTCCCCCTGGGTGGATGCCAGTGGTGCAAGTACCTGGGCTGTCATGTGCTGCCCACCAGGGTATGCATAATCAGAAAGCTAGATCAGAACCATGGGCTAGCCAGGACTTGAACCAGGTAATCCCATGTGAGGTATGGGTATCCCAAGCAGTATTTAAGCTACTGCACTGTAACATCTGCCTCACACAAGATTGCTAGACTGAGCAGTACCATAAGAGTGACAGTGTCAGCAGCCTCTGGGGCACAGGGCTAAGGATGGTTGCTCACAGTCTACTCTGCGAAGCAGTCACTCTATAGAGCTTTCGCACCTAACTGTATGTGTTAGCAATGAGGGGCTCAAAGGGAAAAGGAAATTGTGTTGTTTTACTGGGTAAGTCAAGGAGTACCTGAAAAAAGACCTATCAGCTGGGACTTTTTCATCACTGAATCTTTGTAAAAAGACTCAGTCACATTGTCTCCATAAAATAGGGAGACCTTCTTTCCAGAAATAAAGAATTCAGAGGACCAAATTAAATAAGGTTTCTGGGAACTTTTTCTTTTTCATTTTCACAGTTTTGGATGCTCTGTTGTTGGTATCTTTTGACAATCTGGTGAAAATAAAGTGCAGATTTTGCTTTTTGTATCCAGTCTCCTCCTACATTTAGAATGCTACTGAGTACCGAGTTTTTGTTTTTATTTATTTAATTAATTTTTACTAGTGAACTTCTATGGTAGCTTTTGGCAACATTGATACTGAGTAATAGAAATGTAATTCTCCTGCCAGCAGTAGGAGATTGGCTGGGTTTGCTTGGGGTTTTGGTTGTTGTTGTTCATTCATGCCTGCATTTGTTGGATATAGAACCAGGCCTGTTGATAATTTTCAATGTCTTTCCATCTCTTCAAACCTCTTGGTAAGTTAGGAAGATCGGAGACCTGGCGTGGTGCTAATATGAATTGTGTTGCCTTAAAATCATTACAGTTATTTAAATGAGAGCCAGAACTGTGATTGTTGGTTAATTTGTCCAGTTCCTGAGAATCCTTCTGACTGAAGCTGGGCAGAACCAGAACTTAGATAATACCCCTTTGATCTGACCCTGTGTTAAATTATTAAAGTGTTTGCTTTGAACAACAAAAGTTGTAGAGATTTTGATAAAGTAGCAAATAAATTTTATCTTGGACATTAACACACACATTCACATATTTAGGAATTTATTCTTATAGAAAAAATGTAGAATTCAATTATAAATGAACCACTAAATATGTCTTAAAGACTTTATGTGGTGAACAGGTCTCAAGAAATAGAACATTGCCCATCACTCTCAAATTAATTGACCCCTAAGAGAATTATTAACCTAGTAAACACAATTACACTCTCACAACCTAAATATATCCCTAAACACAATGGTTCTCTTTTACCTGTAGATGAGTTTTATAGAGACAAAATTATACAGTATATGTTTGGGACATGAAGAATCATTTGTGTAACATGATGTTTATGAAAATGCAGCTGTAGTTTGTTTTCATTATCAGCTGTATGCCTTAGCCTGGTTAATATCTGATGTGGATATGCTGAAATCAGATGGTACCTGCTGGGCTGCTATGGCAGTTTAACCTCAGTGCCAACAGTGCAGAACTGAAGATGGCCTTGGGTGCTCCACTAGTGAGATTTTACTTCCGTTTCATAGTTCTGGTCAATACTCCCTTCGATGAACATTGTTGTGATTTTTAAAATGGATTCTTAGGTTATTGGCAGGAGCATAACTGCTTGGTCTTCCACTTGTGAAACTGCCAATAAGCATGTTAGAGATGATCCTTGCTGACATCAGAGACTTTGAAAGACAATCGTAGCTGCTAAACTGTCCAGATTGCATGTGAATCTGGGTATCTGGTGAACACTTGAAACCAAGCCAATCTGTGTCATTCAAATCTCAAACAATGTTAAGCATATTTATCATCACACTTACCATGGCAGCATATACACCATTGAAGACTAGACACAAGCAAGGGATTCTATGCTTTTGTGCTATCATAAGTTGATTCATTTGTGCCCACTGAACAAGGCAACATGTAATGGTGCAAGCCCTTGCCCACTGCTCGCAGACTGACCACATCAGATTGTTAAAACTCCTGGGAACCAACTGTGGTGCCTCACCAGTGTTAACATTTTTGCTTCCTGTGGCTGATATTGTATTTTTTTTAAGAATTGTTTGTTTATTTGTGAAACAGAATTTCATATATAGAGAGAGAAACAGGATGGGAGAGAAAGAGAGAGAGAGAGAACTTCCATTTACTGTTTCACTTCCCAGATGGCCACAATAGCTGAGGAGAGGCCAGGATGAAGCCAGCAACCTAGAACTCCATCTGGGTTTCCCACACAGGTACAGGGGCTAGAGGACTTGAGCTATCTTCATTGCTTTCCTAGGCACATTACAGGGAACTGGACTGGAAGTGGAACAACTGGGAAGGAAAGCAGCACCCATATGGAACGCTGGCAGTGTGGATGGTGGCTTCCGTGCTGCGCTACAGCACTTGTTCTTTCACTTTCTGATTTTTTAAAAGTCTGTCATGTCCTTTCTAAAGATTAGAATTTCCTGTTAATAAATTTCATGTCTTCCTCTACAAGCTTAGCAAAATACTAATATGTTTCTTTTGTCAGACATTTTACTACCTGAGACACCTATGGTCTACTTCTGTCGTTTGTACTGATTCTCGTTCATGTTTTTGTATATTTAAATGAGTGTTTGATATAGTTGAATGATGTGTTTAGAAATGTTTGAAGGCTTAGAATATTATTTTTCTCCAGAGAGTATTGTTTATGTCTTTCTATCAAATTAGTAAGGCACTAGCAATTTTGGATCATCTTAATCCAATTTGGGGGAATGAAACTTTCCAGAAATGCCAACTGCAGTCATTGGAAGGGGCTGATTTACAAATGTTTATTTTTACTGCTAGATTTCAGCATTTTTGGATATCAAATCCAAGTGTGCAGTCTTATTTTGCCATCGCCCTCAGTCTTGACTGGCCTTGTACTTCAATTTGTATTTCTGCTTCCTTGTTAGAGACCATCACTAGATTTTTTAATCTCTCTGCAATGTAAGGGTATTCTTGATAGGCAAACATTCCTAATTCCATGGTGTACACCAAATTTTCCTGTTATTCTTAATTCATGGCCCAATAATTTCTCTCTTTCTTTATGTTATTTAATCTACTAGGAACATGGCTTTAATATTATAAAAATGCATTTTTATTGTCTCTACTGGCATAGTTTTTCTGATTTAGGTAACTTGGCATTACTAGACATAGGATATGTTTATTTTAAGGTAGCTTTATTTTACTGTCGTAGATTCTATGTAAGTTAAATATTATAGATATTAAATGGACAAAGTATGATGTTGTTTTCCACCCCAAATATATCCCATGTTGCTGTCACTCAAATATAGTGTTCCCATTTCCCTAGAAATTTACCTGATTCTCTTTTTCATAGGCTTGAAATCTTTCTTTGCTCCAGAATAAACTTATCTTTCAAGTTTTCCACAAATTCTTCGAAATGCCCTTCTGTAAGAGAAGAGGTAAGCTCTTATCTTGCAGCATACTCAGAATTCATTATTTTTTTGTGAAATAAAATCAGATCTGCTAGGCATATTCATCTTTGTGAAGTATATACAAAGCCACTACTGCCTTTGATGATATTACAGACTATAACCAGTTGGGGGAGCTCCTCAAAGACACTATATAGAAAGTGTAATCCAGAGAAACTAAGAGGAAATGAAAACTCTGTTGAAGCCTAGTAGAAAAGTCTAATATCCTATGGCCAAAGTCTATTTAAAAGTTTCATTGGGAGTCTTTCCTTTTGTTCAGGAGTAGATATACAGACTGCAACATTTCTTTGCTTCCTGGTATGACAGGATACTAGACTTTTTATCATTCTCTATTCTTACAAGGCCATGATACACTTAAATAGCAGAACATTGGATTGGTGACTGTTGCTGAAGGATTATACTATTGTCATAATGGGGGGGTGTAACTGAGGGAAGAATGGGGGTTGTAAGAGGGGAAATCCCTGTGCTGATGGAACTACATCATGAAAAATAAAATAAACAAAGAAAACTAAATTTCAAAAAGTCAAATGAAGCCAAATGTAACTGGAAGGAAAAATTGAAGCTTGCGAACTATTCATGCCCCAAGTGAGAAAGGTGAGAACATAGATGCTAAACAAACACTGACGTTGCTGGTCAAAATGAATGTTTACTTTCTGATTTGGCATTCTGAACATTAATGAAAACTAGATAAATTACAAAGTAGAGAGACATTCATTGGTAGAAACATTGGATATTTTGTTTCAAATGCAGGTTGAGTCAGTTGCTTCCAAGTTTAACACCTGGAGAGCAGAGATCTTACCTGCCTGGACTCTATCCCAGTTCCTCACGGTGCCAGCCCACAGGATGAAGTGCTCAAGAAGTAAGAATGAAGAACCACACTTAGACTCACAGTGCAGTTATTCATCAGGAGTAAGTTGAAGTTTGATTTATTATTTGGGGAAAGACGCTTTATTATTTTTTGAACATATAATAAAATTAGAACTCACAAAGAGTTGCTTTTAAAAGGAAATGAAACCGAATTCAGGGCAAAGTCTCATAAGCCCTTGCAATATGTTTGTGATGTAACTGTTTTATTTCTTTTTATTAGCTAGAAAAGCTCAGAGGGATTAAAGAATTTACCCAACTTATACAATTCCTAACACAAACAACTGTGACTTTTTAACTATTCTGCTAAAGACCTTCCCATTGAACTTACTACTAACCCAAAATGATTACCTTGGGACCTAATCAAGGTGAACAGTCACTAGAGCAAAACCCAAACATTAAGGTAGACATAGAAGCTCTCTTCTCTTCTTTCCCCTACAAGCACAACTCTAATTCATGGACTAGTGTCATAAATTATATTCTACTGTTTGCATTCTTACAATTATTTCTGTTATCACACTGTATCATGAGGTTTCAAAGTTCTAGAATCCCAGTTTCCTGAACCATCTATGAGCCAAGGATGTCATTGTGAGATCATCTTTATTTCTAAAACCCAACTGCCCAGTATATTTCAAACAGCTGAGTAACTGTCATAGGGCTTGTGGTGAATAGATTTCTGAAGAAGTTACAGCTGTGCTATAAAGTAACATTGGTTCAGAATTCCAGTTGTAGAAACAGGCACATTTTCTGACTCTAGACCTTCATGCCCCTACATAAATAACTACATATCTACAACAAGCAGTGAATGTGATACAACACTTTATTAGACAATTATACAGCAAAATTTTAGTGTCTGATGTGTAGTAGATTCCACTTCAATTGAGTAATAAGTAATATTCATACAGTATATACTTGCTGGGCTCTTGCTGTGAAGCAAATGGTATACTTCATATAAATTACTAGATTCAAATCTCACTAAATGTAAATATATTCTCTTATTATGAGGTTCTTTATAGATGAGGAAGTTGAAGCACTTGGAAATTACCAGTCTATTTCAAGATTATACAAATAAGGTCTGACATTCTACAGTGCACTAAGCTGCCATGAGTAACTCTAGCATCCCATAACACAGTGCTAGTTTGAAGCCAGGCTTTTCTGCTTTCAATCCAGCTTCCTCCTAGGGCACACAGGAAGGAAACGAGAGGATGACTCAAGTCCCTGGGCTTCTGTCACCATGTGGGAGAGCTGGGTGCAGTTCCGAGTTTCCGTCTTCAGCCTGGCCCAGCTCTGCCTGTTACAGCCATTTGGGCCGCGAGCCAGCAAGTAGAAGCTGGGTCTCTGGCTCCATCTCTGCATCTTTCGCTTGCTCTGCCTTTCAAATAAATAAAAGAGTTTTTGAAAAAGAAACTCTAATCTTTGGATCTAAATTTTACAATTTTATCAGTCTGTTGGCCAATCCCAAGATAAATGATACATTTTGTTTCTTAGAATAAATAACTTTAGTTGATTCCATGAAAGTGTGCAAAAATGTTAAAGCATGGTCAGGCTGGAAATACTTGAAGGATTATTGTGACATAATTTCCCATCTAATGTTTTCCACACTCTGGATCTTCAGTACAATATCATGGTGAAAGATGACCCTGTAGTTTTTAAACATGTAAGACAATTGGAATAAAATTTTTAATCACAAAAGATTCAAGCATGGCCTGTTAGCTTTTGCTTAGCAGAATGCACAAGTATTTAGCCAAATGCTATTAATAACCCACAGATTACACGAATATATGCTGTGAGTCACAGGGTGTGGTAGAATGAGAGGGCAGTGGGTCATTGTCAGTATTTCAACACAAATGCTTGAATAAGTGCCTGAGAAGAGTTGGAGTGAGGAAAAGCTGTGATGAAATCACAGAACTTCACTTCAAGATACACAGCCTTGCAAAGACACTGAGCTTTTACGAGTGTGTTTTCTCATCTGCTGCACTGAAAGGATAGTAATACCAAAAGATAGTGCTACTATTTCATCATCTATAAGGACTCCAGAAAATATAAATATATAAGAACCCTTTCTGTACAAATGAAGCCTTAGCTATTTCACTGTTACTAACAATGACAAGACATGTATTACTGAATATTGCTTTCAAATTCATAATATTCAGCTGCTTCAGGCACAACTAGATACAGAGGTTCAATGAAGGTATTATGATACTGCTTTTCCAAAGTTGATTATGCTTTCCATTATGGTGCCTCAATTCCTAAAGAAGCTCTTTAGAAAACCTATATAGATATTTATTTACTTGAGTCATAGAGTTTCCATCCAGTGTTTCACTCCTCAAATACCACTAATGGTCAGTACTGTGTCAGGCCAAATTCCATAGCTTGGAGCTCAGTCCAGTTGCCCTACATGAGTGGCCAAGAGTCAAGTGCTGGGGGCATCACTTGCTACTCCCAGGGTGCACATTAGCAGAAACTAGGATCCGGAACAGAGCCATGACATGAACTGGGGCACTGCAGGAGATGTAAGCAGTTTCTGGGCAAATGGTCAGCCTTGCAAGCTCTTTATCAACAGTGATCTCTCTTAGCATCTTTAAGTCTATTATCTTATACTGCCTTGCAGAAAAGCATCTTTTCCAAAACTCCAGCAGAAGCTTTCATTTTACCTTTTATTGGCTTTGTTTGGCAAGTTTTCCTCTGGAGCATGGAAATGAAGCACTAGAATGAATTTTAGTCACATACAATCTTCTAAAGAAACACTAATTTTTCAAAAACAAGCCCACAGTACTTATAAACAAAACCAAAAAAAAAACCATTACAGTAACTACATTGTAAATGGTAAAGTATCACAAACACTGCTGAGCACATTGTAATTATTTAATAAGTGTATAGCAGTAATTAAAGTAAAATTTATTTTTAATATTTACATGTTCAAAAAAATCAGGTTTCAGTCAAGCTTTCCTGGACCACCAAGATGATGTGATAATACATAGCCTATTCAGAGTAAGGTAACCTCTGCCTAGGGCATATCACAGCATGTGATGTTTGAAGTATCTTAAGTTTTAGGACAGAGGCTGCCCTGTGTTTTGGAGAAACCAGCAGTTTCCCCCCAAACAGCCTGGCTGCAATCTAAGTTAATGAAAACATGTGGACAAATATTGTTCTTATGGATTGTCATGGTTCTAGCATAAATTACTCGTTTGTTCCAATATACTGGAAGAATGGCTAGAGGTCAAATACAGCAATTTACTTCCAAGTTGTATAGTGAAATAAAATAGAGTGACTCTTTTACAAAATTTCCTCAAGCGATAATATAAATAACAGTCAGGATTACATATAATCTTCATGGGATTCTTTCTTCAGTAACTAAGTCTATTTAATGGGAAACTGAGGCATCAGTACTTTACTTCTGCTGTGAACCTGGTAACAGTTAATTAATGAAGAACTATGTCTTCATATCTGAGTTTATATCCAGATTTATAACAATATGTTTGGTTCAACTTTATGAAGTATATGCTTCTATAATGTAGTTTTTGGGTAAGTGAAAATGCATAAAGTTGAATCTCCTGGGAAGGCTAAATTCACTTACTATTTCCCTTTAAGTTCCTTAAGGGCAAAAATTTCAAGTTCCCATGCATTCTAAACATCAAAGGCTTCGGTATATTCTAGACATCAAATGGCGCCACTCTCCTTTACTTTTCTCATTAGATTTCATAAAATGAGAAATGAGGCTTATGTTTACAATGGTATTGCAATAATGATCTATTATGATATTGATACCAATTGGCTTAATTTTCCTTTTTTATTTTACCAGCCATCACCAATTTTTAGACTTGGGGATAAATGACTTTTCATTTTTAACATTCACTGTGTATAAGATATCCTCAATAGTCATGTTCTAGAGCTGGGAAATAACTTGACCAACCTTGTGGTTTGAAATATGCCCATGGATGGTTGTTTTTAATATTAGAGAAAAAAATTAATTGAAGCCTTTGGATCTCTACCAGAGAATTAAGGATCATATTTCTTAAAGAATCAAATCAATAGTCATTTCAGTGAGGTGATTATATTTCACCTAGGTTTCGTTGTATCACACTGCCATATACAATCTAATAATTTGGATTAATGTAGTTATTAGGTCAAAGCAGTTCTGCCTGAAATGTCTTGTAATGAAATTCTCTCTTTTATAAGAATTTTGTCGTTAATCCGATAACATTTGAAAGTAATTTTATTTAGCTTCTGAATGACATGCAGCAGTCCTTGAAAAACAATGGAAAAAAATACCAATTTAGATAATACCTGGAAATACTAATGAAGTACATGCAAGAGACTTGATAATGAAAATGTTGGGAGTCTCAGTAGTTGGCCTGGGGATATTTTCTCAGATCCCTAGATTGTGGGGAGAAATCAAGACAGGACTTTTGAAGGAGCAACAGGAGGAAATCAAGGAACCATCCCTGAAGCAGTGATTTCCTCTTTCCACTCCCTTGTGTTGTTAAAGTAATGAGTTAAAAATCGGTAGACTCCTTTTACCAATATTTTTCTTTTATTTTTAAGATTTGTTTATTTGAAAGACACACACACACAGAGAATGAATGAGTCTTCCACCTACTAGTTCATTTCCAAATGTCTGCAACAGCCAGGGTGGGTCCAGCCTGAAGCCAGGAGCAATAAATACCATCAGTCTATTTCATATGGGTTGCAGGAGCCCAAGAACTTGAAGCATAATCCTCTGTGTTAACTCTCGACTACCCTATTCTGCTTCCTCTCCATTATTTCAATGGTAGCCATTCAGCAACAGTTAGCTTGGGTGATGTAAAATTATTAGTCTCACCTGGAAACATCCTCTTTTTTCCTTTATTCACATTTATTGACACATACGATTCCACTTAATTTCATCCTAATAGCATTTATATACTGTATCCTACTAGTTTCACTACCTGATTAAACACAATCTTGGATTTTTCTCTTCTATGTATGACTGTGGAAAATTATTTTCTGTTGCCCATAATATAATACCACAGATATTACAGGGAGTCTACAAAAAGTTCATGGAAAATGTCTAAGAAAAAACTCAAGTATAGACTTTCTTTATTTTTGCTGCACAGTAAAGGTACCTTTACTATACAATTACACCTCCAAGAGCTTTTTAAAAAAGTTTCAGTTCAGGGCACAATAGTCTAGTGGCCGAATCCTCGCCATGCATCCCCCAGGATCCCATCTGGGTGCCAGGACGTGTCCCAGTGCTCCACTTCCCATCCAGCTGTCATGAGCTTCCAGGTCTCCCATGTGGGTGCTTTGGGCCATCCTCTACTGCTCTCCCAAACCACAAGCAGGGAGCTGAATAACGGTTTAAAGGATAGTTCCTTGGTTTCCTCCTCTGTTACCTTCCATGGTCCTGTCTCTGTTGCTCCCCACAATCACACCAGGCCCTACCACATTCTTTCAGCATAATAAAGTATAAAAGCATTTATTTCAAAAAGCTACTTAAATTACTAATCAATATTTTTTTAAGGATATGTCAATGCCAGGAGAGTAGATGTACTGTAGTTTTTCCTTGTCTTAAATATTGACAGTCATCCAGGATGTTATTTGAAAGGATCCATAACCTGAAAATAGAGCATCTAATTTACACTTGCTGACTTCACTATGAGTTACTTGATTTTTACTTTTATTTGATGACTATCAGAAATGGTAAATGTTGCTGAGGGAGAGTACACCAATATAGATAACAGAAATGGAATCTATGGAATCTATGAAAATAAAATCTGACGTGATGACAGAAAACCCTAAATGTTGTATGTAGGTCAGTGTTGTCCTAATAGTGAAACTGACGAGTTTGAATTTGATATGACAATGATAGCAGCCCTTGTGAAACAAGAGAGCATTTCTGTCCTATAAGAATGCAGGCTCCTGGTTAGCTGATGTGGAGATAATTATAATAGCACTTACTGGTACAGAGGAAGGAGTGAAACTGGAGCTGAGCAGTGAGATGTGACTAAGGCGGGTTTTATTTTTGAATCAAAAGCTCTGAAGTGGAAGCTGTGCAGTGACTCACAGCATTGTGATGGTCCAGCTGTCCATGGGTATGTCTGTGCCCTGTGTGGTCAGGCATCGTCGTCATGCCTGATGGAAGACTAACTGGAGAGTAATCACCACGGATTTACCTGTCCCAGTCTCACCACCAGTGAAAGAGGAACACTTAATCTTCAGTACTGGAAGATGATTTTTAATGATCCTCAATGGGAAATGGCACATTGGGCCCAGTCCGTGATTGTTCACCTAGTCCTGCTCTGCTTGTGACTAAGGTCTGCTTTCATTCTAGTCTATCAGTCCAATCCTTCTTCTCAGAAACCACCCCAGGGAAAGAAGCATTGCGTTCTATTTGAGTCACTTTTAATTCACTTTTTTTTTTTTTTTTTTTAGTTTACTTGAAAGACAGGGTACCCCCTCCCCCCACACACACACGTAAATGAAGCGGAGGCAGACATGGTGGTAGTTTGGCCCTTTTCTTATGAAGTTTTCATGGAAGTCAGCTCAACTGTGCATAAAAAGTCAACACAAAGACAGCTAACCCCTAACACTTACCAGTACAGCCAATTATTGATGCATGTTTCATTACAAAACAAGCTACTTCTATATTCTAATGTCTCTAATGTTATCTCTCATTTTGAAACTTCTTGGAGTAAGGAAGTGATAAAAGAGGCTCCAAACCTAGTCATGTAAATATAAATAAACTTGCTGCATGCTCTGATAATACCATGATACTTTACATTTTGGGTTTGAATGCTACAATATTACCACTCTACATCATTTTTTTCTAATAGTTTACTATTTCTCTTTTTAAATTACAGCCTGCCTAGCAGGGTTGATAAATACAGCCGCATTTCATTGAAGAATTTTTTAAAAACACATTTAACACAGATTTTGGGTCTAAAATCTATCCTGTTTGGTTGATTTGGGCCAGGTTTGGTGAAACATTTCTGTTTGCTTGATAATTCTTCATATGCCACTTCCTCCAGGAACTCCTTTCTGACTCTTCCGTAAGCTCCTAAGTACAAGGCTTATCTTCTTTTTGTTGCTGTGTCACCTGGCCCTTACCCTTATTGTATTTATCTGATTCCATGTCTATTATTTAGACTATAAAACCCTTGTGCTAGGGCCATTATATCCATCTTTGCCCATTAGCTAGGAAAATGTTTGGCACATAACAGGTTCCTAGTATTCACTAGGTAAATTCACTACAGTATAAAATTATTTGCCAATCTCACCAATGTAAGAAAAATAAAAATTTTTTAGCAACAGTGAAAGCAACATAATTGGCTAATTTGATGAGTAACCATTAAGATTTAAATCATGAATCATTCATAATCTAACTCACATCTGTAAATAGTATCATTTTAAAACTTTAAATTGATGGACTTAATCTTGTTCGATATTATCAGTATCATTTAAATTAACATAGGAACTATGTACAAAAAGGCTTGCAACTGTTTTTCTCAATTAGGTATAAAAAAGGAGGAATAATTACATATATTTCAGTGTGTGGTTCTGATATTCAGAGCTGAAAGGTGGGGTGTCATTTTAAGAATGGAAAGTCAGGAGACTTGAGACACATGATGCAGTTGGTTCCATGGAATATTGTCAGACCAATAAGAGTTTGTGGAGAACTTTTATGGACAGTATAAATATTTTGAGCTGTAGGCATCATTACCAGCTGATATTTTCTTTCTTCAGGACCAGCTGTTCAGGAGCATCCCGGACTTGAGCCAGGCACATTTGAGACTTGGCTCGAACTGAAGAGTGCCGGGCACACTCTTCTGCAGCAATGTCGGTGTTAGAAGAAAGCCGACCGTTTGCTCAGCAGTTATCCAATGTCTACTTCACGATACTTTCACTCTTCTGTTTCAAACTTTTTGTGAAAATCAGCCTTGCCATCCTTAGTCATTTCTACATCGTGAAAGGCAACCGCAAGGAGGCAGCGAGGATAGCAGCTGAATTTTATGGAGTAACCCAAGGACAAGGTATGTTTATGATAACGCTCTCCTGTTACAAGTTGAGTTCAACTCTCATTTGATCCACAGTCCAAGAAAACGTCACATGTTTTCTTTATGGACTTCAAAGTGAAGATTTTGTAAACTTCGCTTTAGGAAAATAGTTATAACTTACTGCATAGTTTTATGAAGAAGCAAAGTACTTTTTTGTGTCAATGTTTAGATTAAGAAAAACAGATAGTATTGCAAAATAAAGATTATATTATTAAAATACATTTTTCTACTAATAAACATGTAGTAAGCTTTAAATGTCATTTGCTAAGTTTGTAGATTGGTTTAAAGGTAATCACACTCCAGTTGTCCTTTAACATAGCCACGTATTTCTAAGTCAAATCTTTGGTTATGTTTAAGGTAAGTATATTGCATGACAATTACTTAAGATTTTTGTCTCTTGCAATTTTATTTTAATAAAATTAACCATTTTAATTTTTTAAAAAGCACAAAAAATGAAAGCTTATGACATGTTTACCTAATGGAGTTGTTTTTGTTTTTAACTAAAAGGTTTAAAATTGGGAAGTCACTTTTTTTTATGTATTCACTTTTTATTATATTTTATTTTTTACAATCTTTACATGGTTAATTAGGGCTCAAGGGCTATAGGGAAGTGGGTAAGACTATTATTTCCATATTGTTTCCTTCATGTATCTGAGATAAAGGAGGATATTGAGGGAGAAGTCATGTTCTAAAATTTTTTTTCTACACTTTTGAATTCGTGATATCATTCTTTTCAAAATCTTCTGCTGTGTCAGTATACCTTTTGAGTAAAGGTGGGAAATCTTTAATATGCTTAAAGTTGAACGAATAGGATTTTCCTGAGAGACATAGTTCTTGTGTAAAGTGAGAAATGTATGTGGTCATTCAAAGTAAGGAATATCTAAATGGCAATCTAAAACTCCCACAGATAAGTCAAAATCTGCAAAAAGATAACAAAGTTTAATTTCTTACATATCAGCACAGGATAGGTACAGATGTTCTGAGATCCAATTGAAACTTAAAAATTGGTTGTGATATAGAATATTTGTATACACAACAACAAACACAGAAAACTACATTTAAACAAAAGCAACATTTAAATATAAAACTAAATGTATTATATGGTAATGAGGTGATAGAACTAAGTCTTCTGGACAACCCGTAGCTCATTATCTCATAGTCAAATCGTATGGATTATTACAATTACCATGCAGGAAAATATGCAATGCTGACTCCAAAGAAGAAGCATTTCTGTAGATTATCAAATGCTATGGAAATGCGTTTTGATGAATTTAAAAGTTGAAAGAAGCAGTCATCCTTTTTCAGCCTGACCTTAGAGCTCTTCTGGGAAACCATGGAAATGTCTTCCGTGTTTCCATGGACTCTTAGGATTCTGTCCTAGGATATAGTGAAACTCAAGGATTTTGTTCCAAGAGAGAACAAAGGAAGGAAACCAGTAATTACTCATAGAAATTGCTTTCCTGGGATTTAAGGTGAAAATAAAGCATCTTAACATAATAATTCTTTTTTAATCTCTTCATTCTATTAGTTAATTCTTTCCTTCCCAGGAAACTGCTGCTGTCTGCATTTTAACATAGTTCCTCCCCACTTTTATTTGCTGTAACTAAAATATTTCAATTTTGTTTGTGCTTTTACAGTTAAGTAGTTAGGTTTAGTTGTCTTTGTTTAATCTAGCAATTCCCTTCTTCCTAGGAAAGATTATCACCTTCATTTCATTTTGAGTTAGGTTTCTCAATCCTACTTTCAAGGCTTAGCTAGGTTGCTCCCCAACATTTCTGATATGGAGTTGCCAAATTCCATGAAATGAGAGATGTTGTGTGTATTTCTACACCTTCCATAATCGTGGAAGATCCACGAGAGTATTCTGGATGTCCTCCCCATCGACAGTTGTATTTTGATAAGAAATAAACTGTTTTCCAGATGCTGTTGCAAATCAGCTCATTGTATCAGACAACTGTAGTGTGATTTTTTGCAAAGCAGTTTCTCATAAGCCCTGAGACCATGGTATCATGTGTGAGATTGCTGGAGATCTAAACAGTAGCTAGAAATCTTGAAAGTTCCTTCTTAATTTTTTTTTTTTTTTGCTAAATCCAGTAAACTTTGCAAATCTACCTTTGAATATTTTTGTCTACCCTATCATCATACTGACAGGATTTATTTTTTGTTGTGCTTTTCTATATCTCTGCCTCTTCTGTTGTCCTTGACGTTAAATACTCTGATTACAATTTTTATATTTCATATGTCAAGTCCACTTGTAAGGCTAGCACTCTGCTTTGAGACTGATAGTGGCATTAAGAAAGGTTGCAAGCTGCTTGCAACAGTGATATGAACCACCCCAAGGCAAAAAGGAATGTTGGAGAAAATAGCTGAATTTGATGGAATGACTGCAAGGGCCTGGAACAAACCATGAACTACTAATGGTAGAGCACACTTTAGGGTCAGGACAGTACGTTTTCAGATCCTACCTTAGACTTTATAGAAGGTCAACAGTTTCACCTAGAAAAATAAAGTGTCAGTTCTAAGTACCTGATTTTATTGTTTGCCACCCTTAAGCACTTCACATTCTAAATGAGGAGAAAAGACACCAGAATTCAATCTTGTTACCTCTGCTACCTCTGAGGGTACACATTAGCCAAAGCTGGAATCCATAGCAGAGCTAAAACTTCAAACTCAGCCTCTCTAATATGGGATGCAAGCATCCTAATCACTACTAAACCCCCAGCCACGGACTTTTAAGGCAGTAGAAGTCACTGAAAATTTTAATGTGAGTGGTGGTGTGAAAGTAAGACAGGATATGTATTAAAAAGCCACATCAGGTGAATTTACATAGAAGTAATCTTTGGTGTTGAACAATAGGACAGGCTTAATGTAGGTAAACCAAATAGCATGATACACTAATTAGTGTAGATGAGCATCTACACTAATTTTGTAGAAGTGGCTTTGATAGAAAAAAAAATCATGAAACAGAAAATCAAGAAAAAAATGAATTTAAAGAGGCTTAAAAGCAGCATTGTCAGAGCAATCAAATGTTACTGTAGGGTAACATAGCATCTCCCAGAATTATGTTTTAATATGCCCTTGGAAGGGAGTTTGATTAGCCACACAGGTAATACTTCTACGCTCTACCCAAGGCACCCTGGGAATCTGGACCCCTAGCTGTTTGTTGAGTATTGTGGTTCAACTACTTGTTCCCACTATGAAGTGCCAATTATGAAATAGTGAAATAAGAGTCAAATTTTAGTCTTTATTGAACTTTTTGTTTATTTAACGTATTCCCATCCCAGGGTGCAGAGGCATTTGGGAGGCTAGGTATGGCTTCTCTCCTTATCTCTCCTTATCTCTCACCCACCTTCCTGCAGCCCTTGACCCTTATCACCCTACTCAACTGTAAAAATCATCAAAAGTAAAAATAATTAAAAACATACTCCCTTTGTGTCACTTATTTTTAAAATCACCAAATAGCTTTCTGTTTATGATTTCTGTTATCTAGATCTGCCTATTAAGAGGATGGCTTGATCTACACAATGTTTTACTCCATTTGATAGTTTTAGTTTTTGTTGTAAATTAGTAGGTTTGCATTGGGCACCAATCATCAGTATTTCTTGGTCTTTGAGTTCTAAGTCTGCCTTTCAGGTGAGAGTTTACTCCAATGGGGCTGTTAGATCAGGTTTCTGAGACTGCAAATCCAAGACCAAATTCTTGAATCTGAGTACATCAAAGCGCTGTGTCCCTGTGAGGCTAATTGAAATATGACAAGTATTTGATGAAACATTTGAAAAAGGATGGATAGCTGGCACTGATGTGGTTAGTTTTGACATTTTTTTTTTAAATTAAAACAGTGAAAGAATGAAAACAAAGGCACATTTAAAAATTAATTTTCATGCATCTATACAGAATCCAACTATCCCATAATATGGATAGTAACTGGATATCCTTTCAGCATTCTTTCCTAAGGATTAGAAGAACAGTAGACATTTGGGGCCTTTCGAGAATGCGCATAACTATGTGAAATGACATGAAGGCATCCTCTCTCCATCAAGGCAGCTAAAGTTTCCATGTCACCATTACCTACTAAGTAAAATAGAAACTTTCAGAAATACATAAGCTCTTTCAGAAGCCTTATGGTCTTAAACTGTGGGGAGAGTACAAACAAACTGAAATTCAAAGCCAAAATGCCACTCATGTTCCTAAATAGAATCGTTGGCTCACCTCAACTGTCAAGTGTGCACCTTGATTTAAACGAAAAGTGATGTTGATATGAAAAGCTCATCCATTGAAAATCTGCTCTTCACCATCATAATGCTGCAGGGTGCCATGTGAATAGGTGAATCAGGTGAGGCTGCCAAAATCTTCATCCTTTGAAAAATGTCTCATACACTGTAACTGCACTTAAATAATTACCACTAAGGAAACAATGGTAAGTTGTGATGCAACTGCCCACAGAATGCATCTTCGATTAACCACCAAGACGACTCGTGAACACTCTAGTTTTCCAAACTTTCCCTCCTTCTCTGCAGAAACAATTTCTATCAACCATGACATGAAAGATTTAAGTCATTTGTAGAATGAAATGGTGAGCTAAATACATTCCTGAATTTAAAAGCCTTGTGTTTTGCTTCTCTCTTGAATTGTGATCCGGAAAGATAAATTTGGACAAGAACAAAGTGTTAGTTCCTTGGCATTAAAATTCAAATACACAGAATCATTATTGCATCTAGGAAAGAAGGAATAGTTCTTCTCAGTGACTCTCTAAAAACAAAAGGAAGAAGGACTAAGTAAAAATGTGAACATTTCTTTCTCACACCTCCCTGTAACTATAATAAAAGTACTAATCTGGTAAAATCTCAAATTGAAGATAAATCTGTGGATATTTACTATAACTTACAGAACCCAATGAAAGAAGAATGGTTAAAGAGAAAAACTTACTGTATAATGAATTTAGTCATAAGCTAATACTTGCCTAATTTATCTGAATT